TTGGAATGGATATTCTTTTTTCTTTTCTTTTCTTTTCTTTTCTTTTCTTTTCTTTTCTTTTCTTTTCTTTTCTTTTCTTTTCTTTTCTTATTATCTTTTCTTTTTTTCTTTTTTAATATTGCAACTGATATAGTGGGCTGGCATATCATTTTCTAATCTGTTTGCAAAATACATGCAACTTCTGTTCTCAGCTCAAGACCAATCAAAGATAAAATAAGGAAATAATATCTTACAAGTACAATTGAAACTTGCAAGTCTTAACTCTGCCCTATGTCAGTCCATGTGAAGTAGCATTGCTGACAACAAAGGGACCACAGGAGTTAAAAAGGAAGGAGCAATAGCATAGCAATTTCTGCCTTATTTCCCTATCATGTTTAGCCAAATGGAGCTGACCGTCTGCTTTTGAGAAAACAGCAAACTGGAGATATGGCAGGTTCGAGTTCAGGTGCTTGTTTGCATCTGGAGACGTCATCTTAAGGGAGTCTTGATATTATTGTTGACTGAGATACCCAACTGACATTTTAACAAATTATCTGTTTTCAACTGTTGCAACATGTGCTGTTAGATTTCAGAGTTAGTGAACAAGAAGCCATAAACATTCTTGTAACACAAGCTAATAATTTCATATGCTATGTTCATAGACTTCAAATAACAGTATTTGTTTATGGTTGGTTCAGATTCAAGCTTATCTTCAAAACCAGACTACTATGTTCTCTTTTATTTATTTAATTCCTACACAGAAATCTTACTTGGAAAATAATATTTCTGAACAATCTGCATTCTGCAATATTTTCCCAGAATCAGAAAAAAATCCCTTGGCTAACTCTTTTTCTCTTCTGAACTCAAGAGCAGATTCTGTTCACAGCTCATAAATAAAAGGAAAACATTCAAACTTTGAGATTTAAGCATAGAAGATTCAAGTGTGTCTTCTGTTCTAATATCAATTGATTTTTCTGTTCAAGACTCACTCTAGCTTCTCTAAAATGTGAAGTCCATTCTTTGTGCTCTGTAGATCATTATAATATTCAATGCTGTTGTTACTAATTATTTCAATGAATTGTACAGTGTTTCTCTGAAAGTTTCACAATGCAAACTGCTTTTTTATTCATCTACTTTTGTACTTATATTGCTTTATTTTTTTTTTCAGCCTGGCTGCAGATAAAGACTTCTTATAATTCTCCTGGATTTTCTTCTTCCTTTTCCTTCTCTCTATCCTCCTTCTCCATCACATCTGACTATGACAAAGGTGTACCTGGAAGTGCAATAGGAAAACCACTTGAATAAGCACATATAAACCTGTCAGTATGGACACAGACCCATCTCATGGTTCAGTAGCTGCTGCCTTAGCCCTGCAATACCAGCCCTGTAAACCAACACTATGTACTACAACCCAATTTAAGTTTTTTAAACATTTTCTTCCTTCTTTCCTCTTCTAGCATGTCAATTCTTCTCATTCCTTATTCTTTTGCAGTTAAAGTATGTAGCAGTAGTGACCACTTTTCCAGTGGTCTCTACTGTAATTCCCCATTATGCCACAATTATGCCTAATTAAGTGTTCTACTTTCTTCTACCATATGCTGAATATCCATTTGATGGGACAAAGGATGCTGTGACGCTCAGTCAGCAACAGATGCTTATTCACACAAAAGTCTGGTAGATAGAACAAATATTAGAAAAATAGATTAGATAGAAAAATAGCAAATATTTCTTGTCCAATATTTTAAAAATAACACAGAAACCACCTGGAGAAAACTTATTTATAAATACCACAACTGTGAGGTTTAGATCTTGAAACCTCCTGTCACTTCAGCATAATACAGAAAAAATTCTTCTGCCTCTCGGAGAATTCTGCACAATTCTTAGCCTGATCTTCTTGATCCTTACTTTTGTGCTGCTAATTGGGCATGCTTCTTAGGTTTATCATTCATTCTCCTTAGCAACCAGGGTACAAGCAAAGGAAGGAAATCTAATATGGATATGTTCATTAAAGATTCTCTTTAAAAGATGAACGCTTCGTAGTATCAACCGTATTGAATTAAGTCTTACTCTTGGCATTGCATTTTTCTTTCTGAGTGTCATGTCCTCAAGTTGTGCTCTTTAGAAGCAATTTCGAGATAATTTCCACAGCAGAAAGAAGGAGGCAAGTACCCATTCCCTTTGTTTCTGAGGAACACAACAGAAGAAAAAGCTTACTGAAGCAAATAGAATCTAATAAAAATAATTTTAGGAAATTTTCACAATCTTTAAATATTTTGGCTTACCTTGAGCTTTTGAAAGACACATTGATTTTTATTTCAGAGGGTTAGATAAACTGCTAGCCTCCACTCCTTTCTTGTTTTGGGCTTCAATTGAATAGTTCCAAGAGTCATGGATACAGTCATGGAAAGAGATGTATGGAGAATGAAAATAAAAAGATCAAGTCCAGGACTCAAAAAGCTAGAATAAAACCAATAAAATATGGTCTTATGATCACCAGGATTACTTTTAAGGATGACCTTAAGGAACTTTAGGATTATTTTATTACAGCTGCCTGGGTAAGAAAGGGTATGTAAGTGGAAGACTGTAGGCTCATTACTACAGCTTTAACTTTTGTTTAACTTTTCCCATTCCATTGTTACTATTCAACTTCTAACTGTCCCTCTTCTGTGAACAACTGCCTGGAGACAATTAGAGAGGTGCTTGTTCTTTTTGTGCCCCACATTTTTCCGTGTGTGACCCTGGATGAAAGGAAAGGAGTGGGGAGAGAGGAAAGAGAGGGAAGAAAACCACCTTCAGTATTTGTCCTTCAGTATTTCCATATGTTTGCTTAATAATACTGACAATGTGGATAGAATAAGTAGTGTTGAACTGCTTTCAGTACTGTCAGAGAACAAGTACATGCACATAGGCAATTAGAGGATAGTAGCTGGCATCCTGCACATCTGTATTCTACTTGACATTGCACTAATTTACTCATTAAACCAAAGCCTAGAGAAATAGGTTTGCAGTCAAACTAGGCAGCAAGGACTCATTGATGGTAAATAGTTGAATTTTTTTCCAAAAAACCCTTGTACTGAAATCCAGACTGCTGTTAAAGATTAGCTTGTTTTTAAGTGTGGGTTAAAAAGAAATCACTGAGTGGTAGAGAAGTGCAAAGAATATTACACAGAATAACACCATTTTCTAAGAAGGGGAACCATGTACCTCTTGAGCGATTCAGTTCATTAGATCCCCTAATCCTTGCTTTTACATGGAAAAATAATTTTAACTGACGTTCCTTGGCACAGAGCAAATGTAGTATTTTCACTCACAAAGTCTTGTTTCAAACAACAGTCCCACCTCTTTTAGACATCTAAGCCTGCAGAACGTCTGTGGAAAGCATCCAAAGCATAGCAATCAAGAGCCTCCACTGTGCAGAAGGCTGTGATGCAGAGACATCCTGCAGAGGCACTTCACTTCTCAAACATATTTTGAAGTACCATATAGCTTTTTCCTAACACAAAATCAGGAGAAAAGGCAATGGGAGATCAGCAGCACATCTATAACATGATGGATTCGTAGCCCTACTTTCCTCAGAGCACAGAAACACCTGATCTGCAGGTCTTGTGGCTAACTTGCTGTCCGAGTAACCAGGGAGAAATTGATCTCTTTTAATTTTAGCTATCTAGACTAACCTCCCATCTTTCTTAGGTATATGTCACCCTAGGCTCCCTTCATACATTTATTTGCCCTATCACAAATGCCCACATTAGAGGAAGTTGGCCTATTCTTTGGAAATGCTGGTTTTTTCCTCTTTGATACACAGTGTTTAACTAAGACTTTGAAGCCTAACTTCTAGACATTAAAGCTAGAACTGATGAATCTCTCCCTAATTAATGGAGAGAGTGCAGAAACTCCAGAGGGTAATTCAACCCATCTATTTTAAATGCCTATTTAGAGAAGAGAGGAAACTATTTCTCCCCATTAACTATGTAGGGAGCCAAGCTGACTTGCTTAACCAGACACTTAGCTTTTGGACAGCAAAAGTTGCTAAGACAAATTACATCCCAAGTGTTCTGCAGCCCAAAAGGGGATTTCTTTCGATCTCTTCAAATCCTAGCAAAACCCCTCATAAAGCTTGTTTATTCAGACTTCACAGAAGAGTCATGATTTAGCTCTCTGCCAGTGAAACAAATATAATTCAGGGATGCCATTTTTGCCAGACAAGGGAAAACAACCCCAAGCTAAATATCACTTCTAAGGTCTACTAGGTCATCTTCAGCCCCTGGATCAATACATAGATAGAATACAATTGTAAAGGTCACATTGGAAAATTCCCCTCTTCATAAAAATATCAGTATGGAAAAAAACCATAACTTACACAATTCTTATCCAAGGCCACTACTTCAATGCACTTTCATGTTAGCAAATCTAATTCTTATATGAGTGATCAGCATCTTTTAGGTTGAAGTGCAAAGTACTGAAAGAAACAATTTTTTTCCAAATTCTGTTCATAATTGTATTCAGAAGTGATTTAACTGACTCCACTTGTACTATATTTTATGACACTCAGACCTTCCAAAGAGAAGCTGTGCTATTGCTTTTTTACATCTAGAAAATAGAGGTCAATTTATGGTTTTAGTAACTCAATAATGGCCAATTACCAGTCTAAAACAGGTAGTAACCTTTAATACAAATTCAAGATGCAGAACATCATTAAACTCCAAGCAAAACTCTCCATAATAGTATAGAAAAGTAAATCTTTGAGAAGGGGCTTTTAACTTTTTTTGTCAGTGTGTATTTAGTCCCTCAAAAAATAAAGATGATGTTTCCCTGTAAGCAAATTATTTTGCCTTTTGTAAGAAAACTGAGCTGAGAAAAAATCCCTGGGAGGATAATGGGAATCTATGAAATTAATAGACACTCACTAACCTTCATAAAGCATGAAATAAACACACTTGATCTCCTAGATCCAGGAAGTTCTGGAATAACATAATTGATCCTTGAATTAACAAAACAGAAAACAGGTTTCATGAACATAATATTTTTTATTGCGTAAAGTCATCCATCGAGGTTTTTATATAAGATTTTCTTGCAAACTCCATTACATATAGGATTACAGATATTACAGAGAGAAAGCATCGCATGCTAGTCAGTCTAAACTTCCTGTAATAGCCAGTCAAGTTTTCACTTCAGAAGTATTTGAGATGTTTATAACATTGTTTTAATGTACCTTGAATTCTGATCTTTTATGCAGATTCTTAATCCAGACTCAGTTTTAATATCCTCAAGTGCATTGCAGCTTCTACATTTTAAAAATTAAAATGTGCATGAAAACATATTATCTTCTGCCTATTAAACAACAACAAAAAAAACAACAAAAAAAAATACAAAACAAACAAAAAAAAAAGTGATTGGCATTTTTCCAAAACAGCTATTCCTTGGTTTCCTTTTAGACACAGGGAGCTCATTAATTATGCTTTAATGCTAATTTTCTTGATTTAGAGGGAAAAAAAACTTTGAAAAGTAGGTGCTCAGTAGAGAGAACACTTATACTGCTCAGAAAGGTAGTTAACCCTTTTCTGTAGTGCTCATTCAAAATGTCTATTTCAGCTTGATCTTAATGCCAGCCACAAGCAAAACTATGAGTTACTGTTGCTTATTCTTGCTGATGATCTCAAGAAACTGAGTCAACTGCTAGTGACTGCCAGCACATGGGAACATCTTGTTCATGGAAACATCTTACAGCCAGGCCAGACAGAGCAAAATATATCCAGTTTTATGGTGGGAAGCCACAAGGGATTATTCTAAGCCAGTAGATTGCTTTCCTTTCATGAAGTGCTAAATGAATACACCCCAGAATATGTTCCAGACGGTCTCACCTGAAATGCTATGTCCACGGAATGTCACCTACCAGGAAGCAGCCAGAGCTGCGCCTGTTTCAAAAGGCAGCAGCATGGAAAGTGCCTCTGCTCGGTAAAGATGGTAAGTGTGCTCTTTCACTTTCTGCATGGTGAGCTTCTGCAGGAGGAGACAAGTTCTGGCAAGCAATCAATTCTTCTCAGGGAAGTGACTATTAGAAGAAGAAAAAAATCAGCCTTTGTGGGAGACTTCTCTTGACTGAAATGTTACCTAAAAAAGTTTGGGCTCACATTGTCTATGACAGTCTTTTGGAAAACATTTGGGTAAAAGGGTCCTTGTTAAAACAGCCTAACTAGGTAAATGGTAAGTAGGTATTTTTTTTTTTTCATTACAGAAAGATGTAAACAATATTGAACCTGTTCACAAACTGTGTGATAAAGACTTTGATCTTGAGTAAATCTTTGAAAAGCAATGTGTAAGGAATGATTTCTCCAGTTCTCTATTGTCACTATTTTACATAGTGAGTGCAGAACTTCTTTTAATATGCTGCTTAACCAGGAAAGCAAATAGAATTAATTTTTTTTTAATTACAATACCTTTTCAGCTACCATCAATTGTCTTTTTTAAGCTAAACAGAAGGCAGAAATACCTTATCAGAAAATCCTTTGCTCCTGCATGTAAGACTGATCACATCCAAATAGAATGCAAAACCTGACATGATGTCAACTTGAAGTGAGTTGTTTACAAACACAAAATCCCTAGTACTAAGTCAGCTAAGCAGCTCAGGTTTATGTTAAAGGGATCTGCACACCACATTCTGAATCACCTCCTGCCAGTCTATAGAGAATATGTTCTTTCTCCTGTAAAGAGACACAGGCATTGCACCTGGCTAACCGCATCAGCAACATCTCTAGATAAACCACTTGTAGTGAAAATAATTATTTTCTTATAGACTGTCTTCACTGTTTCTGTTGTATGCTTGGGGGGAAAAAAACCTCCACAACAAAATACACTTTAATGATATGATGGAATATTTTATTCTTTATTGTGGCTGTAAGAAGATTTTACAGAAGTATTCAGAACAATCACTGGCAAACAGCAAAAAAACTGAAAAAAATATTTCAGGCTCACTACATTTTTTCCTACCAAGTATATTAAACTGTCTTAGTTTCATCGAAATGCATTTCTTCCTGTGTTAACTTTTTTCATGTGATAGAAATTAGATCCTAATTTGCAGCCTAACTCAGCGTGAGTGCTTAGCATCTCTGAAAGCCAGGTCATTCCTCTTAATATCCTTTAGACACTGTTTTCTGAGACTGTCCTCCTAAGTAATTCCTACTTGAATGCTTATGAGAGTAGAACAGAGAAGGGATTCTATTTCCATCACTGTAAAACATCCCTGGAGGAACTGAAATGTAGCCTGTATCCACTGAGCATATTTTGATGTTTGTAATATGCCCTGGTGTATGCTGGAAGACCCAGAAGAAGCTATTACTGAGGCAAAAGTTCCTCTGGGTCTTTTGCTGCATATATATAGCTTTGGTAAACTTCCAAACCTTGTAGCTTTTAATGGTTTAAAACATTCCCTGGAGGGCATATATTGATGTAGGTATACTCAGGTGGGAATGGCTTCAAACAGGCTAGCTGTTCCACTATTGCTCTGTCCTAAGTCCAAAATCATTAATGTGATAGGTAGGAGATTTTGAACAGTTACTTCACACTTTCTGTGACATAAAAGCATCTTGCTTTGCTCAAAGGAGGAGGGGATTGTGCAGCATCAGAGCTCTGTATGAGGTGAAAGAAATGGCAAGACATATATGATCAAAAATAATTCAGCAGATGTGTTTGGAGTTTTTTTATCAAAATACTTTTAGAATTATTATTATTACTAGTCATTAAAAAAAAGTTCTCAGCAAAATCTAATTGGAAATTTCAAAATACAGAGAAAAAGACCACACAGCTTTGAAGGCAGAGCAACTTATTGCTATATATTTCTCATCTAAAGCCTTTCAGCTACCACTCGATGTTATTCTCGCTGCTTCACTATGTACAAGTGACTTTGAATATCTTCAAGCTGTGGAGGACACCGAACATAACACCAGCAAATTCTCTACCTCTTAACTGAGTTCTCCAGCTATGAAGCAATTATACAAATAGTGGAGAACGGCAACCCCAAGCCTGCTGGGTTTTTGGAAGAGAGAGTTTTTTAAAAAAAAAACAAACCCAAACCTGTTTGCTTCTCTGAATGAATGGGTACAGAACCCATGCATATTACAATGGTTTTATAAAGCAACACCTGAAAAAATGAGGCTTGTGTGTGCATAGATGCTGCAACTCATACAGGGAAAAAGATTTGGAAAACAAGTACTTAGAAACAGTATACCAGTAAGAATTCCCAGGATTCTTTTTTGTCCTAGATTTCTCATCAGAATGTAAGTTTACCTTGTTATTCCCTTTCCAGCTATGACGCTACTGCATGACCCAGCTCCAATTCTGCACCCATCTTTGAGGAAAACATGTTACTCTCCCTTCCAAGTGGTAGAGAGCTAAAAATAAAAATGAAATAGATAAATTACACTTCAGCCCAATCAGATCTTTGAACATGGAAGCTTCAAGTTACTTTTGGGAGTGCAACACTTGTGGATCTCCCAGTGCATCTGGCACAAAGTGCCTATGGTGTATAAGATGCATAAACAATGACAGGTACATCTGAAGAGGGAAGTGGGATGATTAAATGAGAATATATGTAGTAACTAGGTACAAAAAATATGACCAAGAGAGACCATGACTCCCCTCTCAATAAGTTAAAGGGGAAACTAAACAAGACAAGAATATAGAAGAGAAAGCATACTATTTTTCATATCACTTTTTGCTTCATAGTACCAAGGATATACCAGAGTTTCGAAGTAAAGGAAAAGAACTTTTGATGATTGAAGTATCCTAAGAGGAATTCCTGGAACGGATCAATAAATAAAAGATCAGGGTATCTCAGGAATGGGATATTGTTTATTCAAGACTCTCAAAGCAATTTAAGATTAATCAAAAGAAATCCACAATTATGCAGTTTCCCATTGAAATCTGCTAATATACTGAATCACATAGGACAGCAGTGATCTTCATGTACCTCCTGAGAGAAGCTGAGAAAGAATTCAGCTTCACACACATATTACTGAAGAAATAATTGAGTAGCCAATTAAAAGCAAAAGTGTTAAATATGTGGATCAAAGTTAGAAGCCTTAATGACCTGTATATGTCTTTAACCTATTAGTATTCTTTTGGCATATTAATAAATAGCAGATAAGAAAGAACTGGCAGATACAGATTTTCTGGACTTCTAAAAAGCCTTTGAGAATGTTTCCCACATTAGGCTGTTAGAGGAACTAAGTAATCACAGGATGAGAAGTAAAGCATTGTCATTGACTAGAAATCAGCTACAAAAGGGAGAACATAGAAGAAGAATGCATTTATTAGTGGTCACTGCTCCATGTGGCTAAAGGTTAACAACAGGGTGCCCTCAGGTTCTTTACAAAGGATGAAAGTGTTTAATCTATTTATTAATCATCTGGAAATGGTACTAACAATAAGATGGAAATGTTTACAATGGACACAACAAGTCTTAGGTTAATTAAAGCCAAAACAGGTCAAGAAGCTTTTAGGTTGCTTAAAAGAGCTCAGTGAAAGGGGAAACAATAGCAGATGGAAAGCAGCACTTCCAAGCCTAATAGAAGCACAGGGGAAAGAACCATATTAAATACTTCATATAGAATTAAAAACCCAGTATGACCACTGAAGAGGAGGAAGACTCTCTTGATATGCACAGATCAATGAAAATACTTCTTTGACACTAATCACAATCTGAAACAAAGATATTGTCGGGAAAGAGAAGAAAAAAGTGAAGAGTACTGGTATAAAGGTTACGAAGGCTGAGATTTACTTTTTAGGGGTGAAGCCTGGCACCTTTAAATGAAGAGGTTAAAAAGATAATGAGTAAGTAAATTTAAATCACAAATTAAGTAAATTATATCATTACTTAACTCTCTTCATAAGACAAAGAATTTGGTAAAATTCTGAAAATATGAATATATGAAAATAGCATATTTAAAACAGACAATTGTTTTTCATTATTATTTAAATCAAAGATACAGATCTCCGCATTTGATGTTGCCAAGTTGAAATGTAACACCATTTTAATGAAGGACTTTGATTTTTCTGTGGATTTATACATAAAAGTTCCTCACAGTACACTGTTCAGCACAGCAAGCCAGAATCAAACCAACACAAGCAAAAAAATGAAAAGTCCAGCTGCCTCTGCAGTTATCATCTTCTATGTCATGGGCACACAGCTTATTCTTATCCCAACTTCTATACATCATAAACCACTCTTTTCAGCTGCAGGTCTTCACTCATGGATACTTGTATTTTATTCCCCCTTTCAGAAAACTGTCCTTCTTGGTACAGAATATTACTGCATCAAAGGCCCACAGTCAAACTTATCAGGAGAGGTTGGTTTGGCAGAGAGCTCTAGGAGGGGAAAAGAGAAAAGGCTGGGTAGTTATGAACAATAAAGGGAAAAGGATAGCTGTATCCCAGAAGATGTTTTCAATTGTCATATTTACCACTCGTGGGCACAAGTTGGAAATGTTTTTAGGACAACCCTGGCTGCATCAAACCAGGAAGTGTTGCCTGTATCAGTGTCCTTTAGATAATTAAAGCAACAGTAATGTGTGAAACAGTGTCTACCAGAAGCAGCCGCTAATAGCAAAATCTTAATGAATGAAGACTTGATACGTACAATTTGATACATCCTTTTTTTGACAAGAATCACAGGTAATACACACATTGTAATGTGTTAGAGATGTAGGAAACTCTTGTATTACAGCAGATGTACAGACATTCTCATTTATATGGACAATATACAAATAAAATCTTTCTCTGTCAAAGAAGTAACTGCACTTAGATGCCATCATCAGTCAGTAGCCATTAATACAGCCCGAAACCTGTATGTGAAAGGAGCAAATAGGCAACAGATCCCTCTACTAGTATTACAATATATTCAATATTATATTTTCCCAGGTTTGATTACTGGTTTAGCTACACCCCTTTAATATAATTCTTATAAATATGATCATCTACTTCTACCCTAGTCTCCACTTCAATCTAACAGTTTGCCACTAGATATATACATATATATATAAATTTAGAGGAGCAACACAAAAAATCAGTAAGAACTATAGGGACAGAAATCTTTACTCATTTACTAAAAAGAACCAACATATCTAATGCATGAAACAGTAAGAACCAGATTTTTAAGATATTTTGGTGGAGTTGCTACACATTTAGAGAAAATTAAGATTTTGAACATTATTCCAAGTACCTTTGAAAGTGGAATTCATCTCTAACAGTAAGATACCCCTTCACGTATGAAAATATATTAATAGAAAAAAAAAAACGGAAAATTATTTTATTGAATCTTAAGCATGATAAATTGACTACTGCCTAACATGAATTAAGAAGAAACTTTGCAAACTGACAAACAATTTTCTGGTCTGGTGTAAAATTCGTTTTACCTTCCAAGCTTATTCCCAGAGCAGATCACTGAGCAGTGTAGTATGTCAGTTCTCACAGCCTGCTTGCCAAAAAACACACTCTTTTCAGTTTTGTGATTCTTCAATATCAGCTCCTTCAGGCTTCAGGGTAAAGCAACATGAGTATAACCTGAGATACATTTGACTGAAGTCTTATGTGAATATGTTTTCTGTCTACTCCGATGTTGACCTTAGCTAAACATCTGCAGTTTTGGCTGTCTGCCACCCTGACTGCTTTCCCTGCTGGCTGGGCAATGTCTTGTCTCTGCAGCATGGTCTCCCTTGCAGTTCCTGCTCAAGTCAATAACATCTGGTGGTGCAGAAAGTGCAGATCATCTGGCAGGTATTCCCCTCGTGTTTTGATCAATCACACTCACTGATACTATTTCAGCCAATTATTTCTTTATGCAGTTTTGCTAGGTTAGTATATCACTTTTCTTGCCTTCTTTTATCCTTACTCAGGTTTCAAGGTAGAGAAAAGGTAAGAAAGCTTCCTGATGGTTACCAACAACCAAAAGCTTTAAAAAACCCCACAGATTGTCAGGAACATTTTTACTATTAGAATATGATCTCTAGAAGAATTAATTTTCTTCCTATAAGTCCATTAAATTTACTTAAAACCAACTCAATACATGGCGTGAATTGTCAGGGCTCAAAAGAAATCGCCTGTAATTACCTGGGCATATTGCAATAAAGATAGCTAAATAATAAAAAACTGGGAATGTAGCAGTTGCCAGTATACTAACAGCAAATATTCTATCAGCAGAGAAATATTCTTCCAATGTCCTATTTTCTTATGAACTGCACAGTACTTTCTAGTAATTCAAAGAAAAAAGGTTAACTCTGTGATGAAAAATAATATCAATCCACAACATAGATACACCTTTGTCTTGTATGCTGAAGAAATCCAAAGGAAATTGTCTTCACATGTATATAGAAATTGAAATAATTAAAAAAGAAAATCAGCTACTTAGGCTTCCCTGCATAACTAACTAACAGTTCAATGGCTAGCCTGAACACTGCATCATAATCTTTTTTTTTTTATTTTAGCAGGAAACAAGAAAATACATTAGAATATAGTGAGGACAGTATTATATGAAGACAGGACAGACCAGTTTCACTGCTGCCAATTTTCCTTTCAAAAGTTTTTCGTTTTCATGATTATTTAGATACTTTTTCACCTTTCTGAAATTTAAAACTCTAGAATTGTCAGAAAGAAGCACTGACAGTACTGTTCAGCCTTATGTCCGTGTGCTGGGAAGGTGCTGTGAAATCCACGGTGAGGACAGAGGCAGACCCAAAATGCAGCAGAGCTGCAGTGGTTCTGCTGCACACAGGCTTGGCAGATGCAGGGAAAGCTTAGAGCAGAAATCTGCATCACCTTCATAGGCATGCCAACAGAAGATAAAAGAAAAAAAAAATTTAAAAGGATAATACACAATCACTACTGCCATGATTATATAGAGCCAGGTGCAGTGAATCATTTCAGCAATTTGGCTCAGGGCCTTGAGATGCAGTCCTAAAGAAATTGCTGAGATACTTTGGGAATTATCTCCAGGCTGAATTTCAGCCTCTTTAACTATAACTATACAAATATTAACAAGGAGTGTGGCACTGTAGAGACACTCTGTAAACTGAAACAGTGCCAAGGGTCTGGTACCCACACTACATGTGTTTTGATGGTTTTACTTTGGGCTGCCCTAGTCCTTTTTAAGGACTGCACATCCCTTAGTGCCTGCAGCTCATTTTAGGTGCACTTCTTGGTCACCTGTATGCCTTGGCTTTCAGCAGACAGCAATCCAGTTTGTGTGGTGAAGCAAGGGGCAGGAAGAGTGGCAGTGGGAGTGAGTGGGAAGTTTCCACAGCACACTCAGACCTGAACTGAAATGCTGATGGAGACAACCTGAGCTGCCTGTACACAGCTCAGGCACTTGTGATTTGTGCTGCTCAGTGTGTACAGGCTCTGTAAGAAATAAATAGTTGCCTTTTAACTCTATTAAGACACAAAGTCAAGAACAGAGAATGAAGCAGGACCAGCCCTTTGTGCAATATCACAATTGCATTTCATGGTGCACCTGCATGCTATGGGCTC